ACCTAGTAATGGTGATTCACCTGAGGGCCAGTAATCACCTCTGCCCGAACCAGCCTCCATCCTGTTACCCATTCTTCTACTACCGTAAGTGTCCACCTAACTTTAGTTTCCCCTCTAAAGGTAACCTTCATTTTTCCTATGTTAACCTTTATCTTTCCTAACCTAATCCTCTATATTACTTGTTTTATAATATCATAAAGTTAAGATGTATTTACGTAACAGTTAGATCGCCTGACTCCATTTCTAATCCTATGTTATGTTGTTCACTTCACGCGTTCCTCACTTTCCGACCGGTTACATTAATCTTGTGAATGAGACCCAATCGTGTGTGTATATATATATTATATATTCATATATATATATATATATATATATATATATATATATATATATATATATATATATATATATATATATATATATATATATATATATATATATATATATATATATATATATATATATATATATATATATATATAGTCAACCTCACTTTACGCGGTTAATGTAACCCGGAGGGTCCCGCGTAAAGTGAGAAACGCGTAAAGTGAATAACATAACATATGGGATTAATTGAAATGGAGTCCGGGCCGATCCCCAAACTCCACTTTTTGACGACACACAACTATGTTGTAGTAAAAATATTATCTTAACTTTATGATGGTATGCACACACAATTAATAATTAAGAGAAATATCAATATTAGGTTTTTTAACACTTACATTAGTAGATAAGATGGCTGGGGCACACGGGGATGGGCGGTTGGTTCCGAGGCAGAGGGCAGATTATTGGCCCTCACCTGTATCAATTGTATCACTATCCACCACAGAGGCTTGCAGGGCCTCTTTGTCAAACCCCTCAAAGTCCATATAAGTCCATATCCTCACTATAATTATCACTATCACTGACTTGGGCTGGCTGTGGTGGGTGGCGGGTGCAGAACTAGGTAATGTTTTGATGATTGGGCGACCTTGTGCGCACCATGCTCGCGCCGCTTACACAACATGGCGGATGGCGGGAGGTTTGGATCCAAAAATGGCGCGGCTCGCCAGCCGCTCTCCGCGTAAAGGGGTACACGCACCGCGGAATGTGAGCATTCCTGTTTTGGCAGGGTACCGCGTAAACGTGGAAACGCGGAATGTGGGACCGCGTAAAGCGAAGGTTGACTGCATATATATATATATATATATATATATATATATATATATATATATTATACATATAGAAAATACTATATATATATATATATATATATATATATATATATATATATATATATATATATATATATATATATATATATATATATATATATATATATATATATATATATATATATATATATATATATATATATATATATATATATATACAGTCAGCCTCATTTGCAAAATCTAGGGTAATCAAGAATTTTGGGGTGATCAATGTATTACTTTGTAATAGCAAGCAAATGCTGGAGTAATCTACCATTTGAGAACATGGAAAGAATTGGAGGTGCGGATTATAAAAGGGGAAACCGTTGACAAAAAAGAGATGGCACTCCTTGAGGCTCAGAGGAAGCAGTGGAGAGATGATTTGGCGCAGCTGGTTGCCATAGAATAGCCTCCAGCAGTGAGGAACATGGCACTGAGGGGACACACAAAAATACTGCACACGCCATCAAACGAGTACTTCTAAAAAGAGGTTGAGCTCATGGCAAAATTTGACCAGGCAATGAAAGATAATATTCACAGGGTGGAAAGTGGGTTAGCAAGTCACATCAGCCACCTGGGCAAACACATTCAAAATGAATTGATTGACTCCATCAGTACCAAGATCATTCATACAATGGTAAAGGAGATCAAGCATTCAAAGTACTTTTCTATCATTTTAGATCGTACCCCAGATGTTAGTCTTACAGAACAATTGTCAGTGATAATCAGTTTTGTTTCACTGGATGATAAACCCCAAGTAAAGGAACATTTCATGGGGTTCCTGGAGGCAGAGGAGTCCACTGGCCAAAGTTTGTCATCACTAATTTTGAAGAGACTAGAGGACCTAAACATTCCCTTTGACGACTGCAGAAGACAGTCTTACGATAATGGAGACAACATGAGGGACAAAAACAAGGGAGTCCAAGCCAGGCTGCTGGAAAAGAATCCAAGGGCTCTATTTGTGCCATGTGGGGCCCATACTTTAAATATAGTGGTAACTGATGCTGATAAAAGTTCCACAGATGGCATTGGCTATTTTGGCACCCTATTCTTGGTTTTTATACATAGATGGGCTATCCTGAAGAGCCATGTCAACTTGAGTTTAAAATCATGTTCAGAGACAAGGTGAAGAGTATTGAGCCAGTAAGGTACCAAGTAGCATCAGTGAGAAAGACACTCATTGAGGTGAGGGGGTCAAACCATTGACCAAAGGTAAAGATCGAGACCCATTAGGTACAATCATACCGGTTTGCAATCTGCACTGTGGTGTGGTATGACATCCTAAGCCACATCCAGCAAGTCAGCAAACTAATCCAGTCTCCATCAATGCAATTAGATGTGACTGTCAATCTGCTAAGGCAGACTGAAACAGCTCTCAGTACTTACAGAACACCAGGCTTTGTGGCTACACAAATCTCAGCCATGGACATGTGCCAAGACATGAATGTGGAGGCTGTTCTCCAGCAAAAGAGGCTGAGGTCCACAAAGTGGCACTTTTTCTTTGAGTCCCCTGATGAGCCCATCAATGATGCACTTAATAAATTGGAGGTGAACTTTTTCAATGTGGTAGTGGATGCTGCCATCTCGATCACTTCAGGAATGAATGCAGACCTTGGCAGATATGAGAGACAAGTTTTGGGTGCTCTCAGACTTCCAAAATGTGACAAATGAGGAGGTGACACAGCAATCAGAAACACTCAGCAACACCTTAAGCCAATGGGATGAAGTACTTAATACTGACCTTAAGATACTTCCAAATACCACTCTCCCATGGCCACAAATGTCTCTGAAATTGGCCAAATTTCAAAATTTTTAAAAGCTGTACAGGCTCGCTGCACTCACATGAGGGGGGGGGGGGGGCACCTTTGCATAATCTCACCTGGGGCACCAAAAAATGTCAGGACCGCCACTGATCAACAGTTATCAAAATTCAGGGGCTTAGGGACCAGCCATCCTCCAAAAACTCCCATCTACCCTTGATATATCTTTGTCCTGCACACTGTCAAGCAAGAAAATAAATTAGACCTATAAAGCAAGAATAATAAGCCTTAAATAACCAATGTAAAGCATAAATTGAAACTATTATTTACCTGTGTTGAGGATGGTAAAGACAGTCTGGGGAGCAAGTCTCTACCAATCATTGCTGGTCCATCACTACTCTTATTATGCCCTATTATGCCTTATCGCATCATATCAAGCTGTCCAGCACAAGAGGGACTATCACCAGGACGGTTAGGCATGATTGAGTAACACATTAAGTAGGAAATAACAAAAAAACACAAAGTCAGAGACACAGAGTAAGTGTAAACAAGAGCAAAGATTGTGGGAACAAGCCAATTTAAAACAGCTCTGCCACTCCTCTCCCGATTGTCGGATCTCCGGGGTATAAATGAAACTTGCGGGGTATTTCCCCTACATGTAATCATCGGCTATGCAAAATGGAGGATTTCGGATATACCTGTACTTCCTCTCCAATGGTTCCTCTTAGACTAAGTAAATAAGCAGCATTAAAACTGATGAAGGATTGTGGCTCCTTCAGGAGAGATTGTGAATCAAAGAGTTGGACAAGCACGCTGGGCACTAAGTACAGAGTGGCAGTTAATGTTAGGCTGATTGAGATGAATTATGTCTTCAAGCCCACAGTGAGTTCATCAGGTTATAGCAAATACTCTACTTACTCTTCTGGGGTGTTCTGCTGGCATATTGTTACGCTGTGTTGGTCAATTACACCTCCAAGGAACACACGAATTCACACTAACACTATCGGCAGTATCAACCTCTTCAGCAGTCCATATACCAAACTCTTCATTGATGTTTTTTCTGGTTTATTGAATCATGAATTTCACTGACTTTATACTCTAGTAAAAAAGACGCTTCGAATCTTCCTTGAAGCTTCCTACCGAGTCCAACTGCGTGTTCCACACAATTTTTAACAATTACAAGGCACACAATGGAGTGGAAACTTGTAAAGGCTGCCACAAGTGTGGATGTTTTACAGGATAGTCACTACTGATATCACTTCTGGAAGACCTATTAAATAGGTCGGAGAAAAATTATGGATTTTCATGAGTCACGGAGGATCAATTGTGTACCCCCTAAGATTCCTTCAAGTAACCCAGGTTGAGAACTCCCACATTAGACAGTCCATTAGCTTAGAACGTGTAACTGAGAAAGAAATTTTAAATCGTCAGCATGTGTCACATGAGTATGGTGACACCCCCTGGGTTCCCTACTGAGAAATGCATCACAATGATTTATTTATGGTATGAGAAACTACCTGTATGTACTGTACTGTATATTATGTATGCTGTATGTATATTATGTATGTTGTATGTAAACTATGTATGTACTCCATTTATATACATTACAGTACTTATTCAGCCTAGCTAGCAACGTGTAGCAATGTATTTACCATGTCACCACACGCTTAGTTAATGTGCCTGGCGACATATGGAAGCTGCTAATGTATCACTTGCCACATGTCGCCTGAGAGGCCAGTTGACCCCCAGACAGATTAGGGAGAGCCGCCTCGCTTGTGTATCTGTTTGTCCAGTAAATAGAACCTACGAAAAACTCTACAGGTGTTTGTGTTCGCTCCTGTAGATAGAACTTGGTACCCAGAATATATACACTACCTACAGTATCATTTTACTATAAGAATCATATTATTATTCTATAAATTTGTGAAAACCGACCTACATTAATTTACTACATGAAACTTAATATTGTTCTATAAATGAATATAATAAGCTTAACAATCAATATGTTTGAAGAATTAGTTAAGAGCATTAAAAATTACAAACATACCTTCATATGTCTAATAGCAAATTTTCTGATGGTGTAAGTAGCAAGCACTTCTTCATGAACCAAGCGAACTTGAATCAACCCGTATATTTCACTTCCTTCCTTGGGCCAGTACTGGTCACACTTTTTCTGTAAGATTTAGGGACACAAACTAAACATCATTTTAGTTAGAATAAGAAGTTTTGTCTTGTGGCTGGCTGTTCTCATAAATTTTATTTATTTATATAAATTTGTGAAACTGACACAGAATTTCAATTTTAAATTTGGAGCTTTAGCACTAGCTAACCCATCTGCCTTCAGCATCATAAAATAATATAAATAAACAAACAACACTTCACTTACTACATGCAGCAACATTTAATACAACCATCCACAAGGGCAAAACTCCTACATGTTTAGGCTCTTGAACAACTCCAGGTGGCAACCCAGATGGCAAAATTAATTTCTAGGTCTACAACACAACTAGAACAGCTAGAGGCTAGTCCCCTCCCACTCCCCACTTGGCCAACACTTAATGTATCAGCAGCCATCATCATCTTTAAACAAATGACTTTTTTATCACATTACTGTACATTAACTGCCTATAATACAGTACAGCACACAGAGGCTTGACAGTGTTATGACTAACCGTTCTTGGTGGTTTTCATTACACTGTATCTCAAACACTAATAATAATAACAATAATACAGTAAAAGGTCAACAAATGTCAAATAAGAAAACTGTGCAAAAAATAAATAATGCAAAATTAATTCATTACAGTTTTTGGATAGGTTGTTTGATATTATACTGGAAATGATGGTCATGAACAATAATGCACTCATAAAGAATGTGCTGCAGATGTTGTGCTTTGGACCAAGTGGGTTGTTGGCAGCAGCAGGCAAGGATTGGTTGTGTACAGTGGCATGCCAAGCGAATGTCTCCCTTGTGCACACCTAGCATAAAGAAGTTTTGCACTGTGTATTATACAATACCTCTAGGCATTGGGTAGCTAGCTTTGGCTGTTTTTTAACAGTTTCCTATGAAAGGCAGAAAAGGAAAGAAAACAAATATTACCTTTCAGTCCAAAATGGTGAGAAAACATAAAGCTGAAAAGATTAGCTTCACTTGTCATTATGACAAGGGAGAAATAATTACAAGGAAAACACCTCAATGTTCCATTAAGTGTAATTCTGTACAGTATTGTCCAGCAGAAATATTACAAGACTAACCCTAAAATAATAATTATGATGTCCTAACACTGCACATTACAGTAATACTGTTCTTGTACACTAGATATTTATATGAAAATATATACTTTCAATGTAACATTAAATACAAAACAGTATTGTACCTCTAGTATATATCTACAATACTTTCTTTTCAAGGTATAAACATCTTGTGCTGTTATACTTCACAACTGATCCCTTCAGTGGCTGTGACTGTCAGTGCCCATCAACTAGTACTACGTATTGACTTACTCGTCCTCTCTCCACTAGGTTGGTGATCATGACAATAATGTGGACCCTCTGCTCCCACACCATGCGCCAAAAAGTGTCAAAGGTGGACGGTAAGGGACCTTGGGTTCCGATGTATGCCCGAGCTTTGTCATAACCATCAATATAATTTGCATTAACATACTCGATGGCTTTCTTCTGTCCAGGGAGGGGTCGAAGAGGGACTCTAGTGTGATCATCTGAAAAGAACAAAACAAAGTGTTAAGAATGACTTGGCTAAATGCCCAAAACTGTCACAAGTGGCAAGATTCTGTGTGCTTGTTGCCATATACTGCTAGTACAGAGTACTACCATATACTGTACTGTACTGTCACTATACCCTGTAGTGCACAATATGTTTTGCTTATTATGTACCACAGTTATTAAGCTTGAAAACTTTTTTAATTGTCAATATATTTAATAATAAACTATAAGGACTAGTAAATTGTCATTGCTAACCTTGTGTACAGTGTATCTTATATTTTTACACTTGTAAGAACTGTATTGTTGTGATTTGTTTACACCACATTCATGTGCCCCAGAAACATTTGGGTGAAAGAAAACTGTAGTTAACACTGAAAGGTCAAACTTGTTTGTGGGTGCTGTTAAAATGTAAATGTTGGCAAGTTTAGATAACACCGAGGACAGAGCTATCAAATTGCAGTTTAGGGGGTCGACTTAACTATCAGGTATAGGCCTAGACCAACAATTTCACTTGAAATAATTAAGGTTGTCTTATATGCCAGGTTGAACTTATAGGTTGCAACAATTGGTGCAGAGCACTTCCGGAAAATTCCAGTTTTAGGAACGATTTTCCGAGAAAATTTCAATTCCAGCTATAGGAGAGTTCCGGTTAATAGGGATTTTGGCTAACGGAAATATTACGTACTTGTATATACATACAGTGACCACTCCGTTAACGAACCCAATCCGTTCCAGAAGGTCGTTCGTTAACCGAAAAGTTCGTTAACCGAAACCATTGTTTCAATGGGTTTTTGGGTAATTGGTTCCAGCTCACCGAAAATTTCCTAAATTCAACAAAAATGGTAGAAAAGTTCACTTACTTTGAGGTGTGTATGTAGAAGGCTCCTGGATGATGATGATGATGATGGGATTTAGAATAGGGGTGGAGGAGAAGGAAGAAGAGAAGGCATTGGGGTGGAAGAGAAGTCACCCCATGGCGCCATTTCACCCATAAAATTTTAGCTCTCTTGGTGTAATTCAAGATTATTTTCTTTAAATCAACACTGCACTGCATTATATATTGTCAATATGTAAAATATATTTCAAAATGACCAATAATTTGTTTGGAAACACAGAAAAAAAGCGTTTAGTTGAAGAGAGTCTCAAGCAAGATGTTACCTCCAGTGAAAACAGAGAGAGACTAACTCCTGTTTGCTGTGTTAAGAGGCTGGATGCCGCGCATTAAACTAGTCACTTTACCTTCAATTATGTTCAATAATTGTTAAAATGACTTAAGAAATTGAATATTATACTTTTAAAATTATTGAATAGTATAAACTTCTTGATATTTACTAAAATAGTAAGGAATTTAAGCCCTAGAACCGATTAATGTATTGGCGGACTGATACTAAAGCTGGTTGCCCGGTCAGTGCAAGCGAAAACATGTTGAGGTCGGTTCGTAAGAACTTCGTTAACCGAATTTTTTTTTGTTAACTGAATTGAAGATCCTTATGGAAGGCGGTTCGTTAATCGAAATTACGTTAACCGAGGCGTTCGTTAAACGAGGGGTCACTGTACTGTATATATGGGTTCAGAATGTAGAGAAGAATATGAATACTGTACTGTATATGGAATTCTAAATTTAAAAATGTGCCTTCTGCATCTATGGAGAGTGCACTGTACTATCTCAAAAACGTATCTGTCCACACACTGTGTGAAACAATTTGAGACCACAGATGATAGATACTGGGACAAGCATTTAATTTGTTATATAGTTTAACATAAGTAATGCAATGTGTATTTACTTCTGTGAAATTAATATGATGTTCGGTTACCAAATGTAGCAGCATCAGTGTGCCACAGAACCACGCATACCAACCCTCCGGGGCCACAGAGCCACACATACCAACCCTCCCGGGCCACAGAGCCACTCATACCAACCCTCCCGGGCCACAGAGCCACACATACCAACCCTCCCGGGCCACAGAGCCACTCATACCAACCCTCCCGGCCACCACGAGTTGCAGGTAGCATTACAGAAGTCATTGGACACATCCTAGCAGATACTTTGAGATACTGTACATGTATATGAGCATATAGATAATAGTGAATAATTTGACTCACAGGCCACTATGTTGAGGTAACGATTCTTCTGTTTATTGTCCGGGTGCTGAGAGTGTTCTGCTGGGTGATGCTCCTGGGCAGAGGCTGCCTGTATTGCCTCATATTCTTTGGAAAATGCAATGTCTCCATCAGCATGTAGGTCTGCTACATGCTGAAACATAATAAAATAGCATCAGCATCATAAAAAGAGAGATATTAATATTCTGAAAATTAAAGGAATCTATATTTTCATGTTAGGACTGAACCTGCATTAAAACATAAGAACATAAGAATGTAGGAAACTGCAGCAGGCCTATTGGCCCATACTGGGCAGTCCCATTTATACCCAACCCCTATCGCTCATATATCCATCCAACCTATGTTTGAAGCTATCCAGCGTATTCCAGTTAATGATGATATTTGGCAACTTGTTCCACTCGTCCACTACTCTATTTCCAAACCAGTGTTTACCTATTTCGCGCCTAAATCTAAATTTGTCTAATTTAAAACCAATGTTACGAGTTCACCCCTGGTAGGATAGTTTGAGTTCCTTTGTAATGTCCCCTTTGTTTAGCCCTGACTTCCATTTATACACCTCTATCATATCGCCCCCTCACTCTACGTCTTTCGAGGGAGTGCAAATTAAGATGCTTTAACCTGTCTCCGTACTCAAATTCCTAATGCCCGGGATTAGTCTAGTCACTCTCCTCTGGTTTCTTTCTAAGGATTCTACAGTATATCCATTCTGTAGTACGGTGACCAAAACTGAAATGCGTAATCCAAGTGAGGTCTCACAAGCACAAGATATAGTTTTAAATTGACCTCGCTAGTCTTGTAACTAACACTCCTTAGGATGAACCCAAGTACTTTGTTAGCCTTATTTCGAGGTTCAAGATCCCTACTTATCATTACAGCACGAACTACAGGAGTTGGAAAAATAGGTTAAACCTAAGATATCAGTGGCTGAAAATATTTAGTTATACTTTCCCACCACCATCAAGTTCCAAAGGGAACTTTACAAGTGAGAGTGATCATCAAAAATAGAAAGACATCAGCCATGACATCACACTGACCTCTACACACAGGGTTAGGCAGAGAAGACTTCAGACTTTATCCTTCAATTCCAGCCAATGTCCACACTACCAATTAAGAGGCAGGAAAGCTTATAAGTCCCATCACGAGGGCACACCTACCTACAAGTGAGTTGTCATGTGGCCACTGTTTTATCTTTGGTACATGCTAAGCATCACAGGGAGCAATAGTTAAATACAGTGATATCTCCATTAGCCAGAACAATTGGTGGAGAGCACTTCCGGGAATGAGAGATATCTGGGTAACAAGACGACTTTCTCAAAGCAGGAAAAAATCCCTCATCCCCGTAATTTTCTGGAATTTTACGGGTAATGGAAAGATGTTCTCAGAAGTTCCAGAAATTACCCATTACATCTTCTCTCGAATCCGGAAAAATATCCCCCATCCCCGGAATTTTCCAGACCGGAAATTTTGTTCGGAATTTCCAGAAATTGCGTCTGATTTTCATCTCTCAAACCCGGAAAAAAATTCCCCCATCCCCGGAATTTGTCGGGTATTGGAAGAATTTTGTTGTAATTTTCCGGAAAATGTGCCCCTCGAAAAATCGTTCCCAAAGCCGTAATTTTCTGGAAAATTACGGATTTGGGAAAGATTTTCTGAGAAAATTTAAATTACTGTACTGCTATCGGAGAGTTCCGGGTTTGAGGGATTCCGGCTAACGGAGATATTACTGTATCTTAATATTGTATCTGGAGGGATTGTAATGAAAATAGTAATTTTTAACTCAATAATGTACAAAAAGTGTGTTAGGTGGGTACACAAAAGGTGCAGTGAAGTAGATGGCAGACTTTAAGCATCCTGTATGTGCAGGTAACCATGTGTCCACAGCAAAGCTGGAGAAACTCAGCACTGGGGATATGTCCCAAGACTGTGTCAGTGAGTTCTGTTACCTGGGTGACATAACCATTGCTGGTGGGGGTGCTGAAGCCTGATCAGATACAAGAGTCAGAAGTAGCTGGAGGAAGTTTAGGGGGTCTGCTGCCTTTATTGACGGCAAGAAGACCTTCCCTCCGAGTGCCATGAGGAATGTAAGTGGCTGGTGTGAGAAGTGTGATATATGAGTGAAACATGGCCAGTTAAAGAGGATGACATAAGTATACTTGAGTGAACTGAAATGAGAATGGTGAGGTGGATGTGTAATGTGACACTGAAAGAGGACAGCTGGTATTGAGCGCATTGGTGAATTCCTGTGTAGAGGCAGGTTGAAATTGTTTGGGCATGTGAAGAGAATGGGAGAGACCAATTGGGTAAAGAGGTTTATGAACCTAAATGTGGAGGGGAGGAGAGCCAGGGGAGGGCCAAGAATGACATGGGGAGAGGTTGCAAGAATATGACATTAGAATTGGGAACCTGACAAGAATGACAGGAGACTGTGCAGTACGTAGCTCTGCCATTAGGTAACTGTGGCTAACCCATGCAAGCGTGGAAAATGGCCACAAATTAATGATACCAGACCACAAATATTACCAGACTACAAATATTACCAGACCACAAATATTACCAGACTACAAATATTACCAGACCACAAATATTACCAGACCACAAATATTACCAGACCACAAATATTACCAGACCACAAATATTACCAGACTACCAACCACAAATATTACCATACCACATATATTACCATACCACATATATTACCAGACCACAAATATTACCAGACCACAAATATTACCAGACCACAAATATTACCAGACCACAAATATTACCATACCACAAATATTACCAGACCACAAATATTACCAGACCACAAATATTACCAGACCACAAATATTACCAGACCACAAATATTACCATACCACAAATATTACCAGACCACAAATATTACCAGACCACAAATATTACCAGACCACAAACATTACCAGACCACAAATATTACCAGACCACAAATATTACCAGACCACAAATATTACCAGACCACAAATATTACCAGACCACAAATATTACCACCACAAATATTACCACACAAATATTACCATACCACAAATATTACCAGACCACAAATATTACCAGACCACAAATATTACCAGACCACAAATATTACCAGACCACAAATATTACCATACCACAAATATTACCAGACCACAAATATTACCAGACCACAAACATTACCAGACCACAAACATTACCAGACCACAAATATTACCAGACCACAAATATTACCAGACCACAAATATTACCGGACCACAAATATTACCGGACCACAAATATTACCGGACCACAAATATTACCGGACTGGTAGGCTGTAGTCCATCCAAAAGTGAATGTCTTAGTCCATTTGATGGATAGAGAAATCTTTACATAACAGAAGCTTCACATATTCTAGCTACCAACATACTGAAAGTGACCAAATTCAACCATGCTTGATATACTACAATACAATCAATTTGTACAGTTACCCATAAAAGCCCCGTCACCTCTTCCCTTGAACCATGAACCCCAAGATTCAGACTCGTGAACCTGAAGCAGTAGACACTGAGCGCATTGTTCTGTCCATAAATGCTTCAGATTGACAAATCTGAATCTTGGGGTACATGGTTCAAGAGGAGAGGTGATGGGGCTTTTATGGGTGACTGTACATGCTGTTTCTGCTATGGCAAAATTAGCAGTCCTTCACTTATGTTGAGATAAAAAAAATTATGTATATATAAAATAAAGTTTGTTGTCAGGAAGCACAGCACAGTATACAATACAGAATACAGTACAGTGTATAAATGGGGAATAAAAAAGCAATAACAGGAAGACACTGAAATACAGATGTGAAAGATAAAATATATTAAGAAAATGAACAAGAGTGCTGTAATACCATAAGGTTAGTGTGGAGCTTGAGAACCTACACTACATATACTTGTGGACTGTAGTGGGGGGAAAATCTTTTAGAATAGAAGTTCAACAGACAATAGAGATCAATCATTGCACAGGTAAACCTCGATAAACAATGTCTTGTTCAGTGATAATCTGCTTAAACAATGTCTTGTTCAGTGATAATCTGCTTAAACAATGTCTTGTCCAGTGATAATCTGCTTAAACAATGTCTTGTCCAGTGATAATCTGCTTAAACAATGTCTTGTTCAGTGATAATCTGCTTAAACAATGTCTTGTTCAGTGATAATCTGCTTAAACAATGTCATGTCCAGTGATAATCTGCTTAAACAATGTCAGTGATAATCTGCTTAAACAATGTCTTGTTCAGTGATAATCTGCTTAAACAATGTCTTGTTCAGTGATAATCTGCTTAAACAATGTCATGTCCAGTGATAATCTGCTTAAACAATGTCTTGTTCAGTAATCTGTCTTGTTCAGTGATAATCTGCTTAAACAATGTCTTGTTCAGTGATAATCTGCTTAAACAATGTCTTGTCCAGTGATAATCTGCTTAAACAATGTCTTGTTCAGTGATAATCTGCTTAAACAATGTCTTGTTCAGTGATAATCTGCTTAAACAATGTCTTGTTCAGTGATAATCTGCTTAAACAATGTCATGTCCAGTGATAATCTGCTTAAACAATGTCAAGTGATAATCTGCTTAAACAATGTCTTGTTCAGTGATAATCTGCTTAAACAATGTCTTGTTCAGTGATAATCTGCTTAAACAATGTCTTGTCCAGTGATAATCTGCTTAAACAATGTCATGTTCTGTGATAATCTGCTTAAACAATGTCATGTTCAGTGATAATCTGCTTAAACAATGTCTTGTTCAGTGATAATCTGCTTAAACAATGTCTTGTTCAGTGATAATCTGCTTAAACAATGTCTTGTTCAGTGATAATCTGCTTAAACAATGTCTTGTCCAGTGATAATCTGCTTAAACAATGTCTTGTGTGATAATCTGCTTAAACAATGTCATAATGCTGTCATAATAATCTGCTTAAACAATGTCTTGTAGTGATAATCTGCTTAAACAATGTCTTGAGTGATAATCTGCTTAAACAATGTCATGTTCAGTGATAATCTGCTTAAACAATGTCTTGTTCAGTGATAATCTGCTTAAACAATGTCATGTTCAGTGATAATCTGCTTAAACAATGTCTTGTTCTGTGATAATCTGCTTAAACAATGTCTTGTTCTGTGATAATC